GCCGCCACCCGCAGCTGCCCCAAAGGCTCCTGCACTGCTTTGGAATCCTTAAGAGTGCCCACGAGGAATGCGGGGCCTCGACCCGGGAGCTGACGGTACCAGTAGATGAAATCCCTGGTCTGTATGTTGGGGTGTGAGCAGTTGATGCTGATGCTGGTGCCCTCGGTGGTCTCTGCCAATGGCTCCTGCTGCACCTGGGATCTGCCCACAGCCACTGCCAAGAGAGGAGGAGGAGATGCCAAAGATCACCAAAAATCACCCAGATCTGATGGCTTTTTTTCCCAGAGAAATCATCAGAAAGAGTGGCAGTGGGATAGAGCTGGACCAGAACAAATGGGGACAATGTGCTCATCAACCAGGATGAAGAGTGATTCTGGTGTGAGTGAGCGGTGCAAGGGGACAAGTCTGGAAGGGAGTTTGAAATGGATGCATGCGGAGATAGAATGAAAGGCCGGTGCATGAATGGACAGAGGAAGGGAGGGAGATCAGAAGAGGTAACAGGACAGTTGGGTGTGTTACACTGAAGGATGATGGGCTAAATTCAGAAGAATAATAAATGCTGAAAACATTGGGGGATGAGAGGTTATATGCAATAACAGTGCAGTGCAGATGGCAAATTTGTGGTTACAGATATGAAGGAAAGAGGGACAGATGAGAGAGGATTCTTAGAGACTAGGAGGAGGAGTTAGGCACGGTAAACACATGAAGAGATGGGTCGAAAGATGAGTGGTTGGGTGGATAAAGAGGACGTAGAGTGAGGACATGTTACAGTGAAGTAGAAAGGGCTATATTCGGGGTAAAAATAACTGTGGAGTGCACAGGGAATGAGAAGGGGCATGGAAAGGCAATGGTTCATGCAAGCAGGATCGTAGAGACAGAGGTTCTGAAGAAATGGGGAGGGTGGATAAAGAGGACGTAGAGTGAGGACATGTTACAGTGAAGTAGAAAGGGCTATATTCGGGGTAAAAATAACTGTGGAGTGCACAGGGAATGAGAAGGGGCATGGAAAGGCAATGGTTCATGCAAGCAGGATCGTAGAGACAGAGGTTCTGAAGAAATGGGGAGAATAGGAAGAGGGAACTCGGAGGGTCCGGCAAGGGGCAGAAAGGGTGGGAGAGAGGCAGGAGGGGGAAAGAGCCGTTGAAGAAGGAGAGGGCAGAGGTGTCGCTGGGCTCCCCGGGGAAGAGCCCGGGCACGGCCCCGGCCCCCATCCTCCCCCGCCAGCCCCACATACCCAGG